CTATCTATCTATCTATCTATCTATCTATCTATCTATCTATCTATCTATCTATCTATCTATCTATCTATCTATCTATCTATCTGTTATTGTTCTTGGTCATGGAGCTTGAACCCAGGGCCTGGGCACTGTTACTGAGCTTCTTTTGCTAAAGGCTAGCACTCTACCACTTGACCCAAGCACCACTTCTGGCCTTTTCTGTGTATGTGGTACTGAGGAATCACAGTTTCATTTCTAGCTTCTTGGTGGTTAGTTGGAGATAAGAATCTCATAGGCTTTCCTGCTCAGGCTGGCTTTAAACCATGATCATCAGATCAGCCTCCTGAGCAGCTAGGATTACAGGTATTACCCTCTGATACCCTGGTTTCTTCCCCCTTCCCCCCTCCCCCCCTCTTTTTTTTTTTGTCAGTCATGGGGTTTGAATCTGGGCGGGAGCATTGTCCCTGAGCTCTTCAGCTCAAAGCTAGTGCTCTACAGATTGAGTGACAATGCCTCTTTGGTTTTGTGGTGGTTAATTAGAGATAAGAGTCTCACTGACTTTCCTGATCTGACTGGCTTTGAGCTGAGATCCTCAGATCTCAGCCTCCTGAGTAGCTAGGATTACACGTGTGAGCCACTGGCAACCAGCTCATCCTAATTTCTTTAACTTTTTATTTTCTTGAGGGAGGGTGGCTTTCTGGTTTCTTGGCAGGTAATTTGCTTCTTGACCCATTCTTAGCCTATTAATTAGTAATTTATAATTTTAGTTACTTTTCAGGTAGGTTTTGCTCAGCATGAAAATGAGACTACTATGCTTTGACTTAAAGCTTCTATTTTAGCTGGATAGGAGACATGTACAACCAAGCCAGGCTTGTTGATTGAGATGAGGTCCTGCTTTTTCACCAGTTACTTCGAACTATGGTGCTGCTGGTCTCTGCCTCAGATGTAGTCCCAGGGGTATGAGCCACTGTGCTCTGTTTTAATTTTCTGTTTTTACAACAGTTTTAACCAGCAACCAGTCGGTGGCTCATGGCTATTACTAGCTACTCAGAAGGTTGAGATCTGAGGGTCAGCATGGGCAGGGAAGTCCATGAGACTCTTTTTTAAATTTTTTATCTGTTGTGGGGCTTGAAATCTGGGCCTGGGTGCTGTACCCAAGCTCTTCAGCTGTAGACCAATGCGCTATCACTTGAGCCTCAGTCCCACTTTCGGCTTTTTCTGCTTATGTGGTGCTGAGGAATCAAACCCAGGGCCTCAGGCATGCAAGGCAAGCACTCTACCACTGAGCCACCTTCCCAGTGCCTCCATGAGACTCTTATCTCCAGTTAATTACCAAATAAAGCCAGAAGTGGAACTGTGACTCAAGTGGTAGTGTTAGCCTTGAGCATAAAAGCTCAGTGACAGCGCCCAGAAGCTGAGTTCTAGTTCCAGGACTGGTACACACACAGAGACACACACACAGACACATACTCACATACATACTTGTGTACACACACATGCGTGAGTGCATACACACATGCACAAATTTACTCTCTCATTACCAAGATAATATAGTCTGAATTGAAAATAATTTTGAGTCCTTTGGTTATCTTTATGATTTCTCTAATAGACTTAATTCATAGTTAACCAAATTTTCTTTTAAATTTAAGACTTATAATGCACTGACATGATGAATTAAAAATTAAAGTACATACTAGTCTATATCTAATTAATGTTCTTTTTTGAAGGGCATACATCACAGAAGGAAGCCATGGAAATAAGCCTTGATATAACAGCACTCAGCATTCTCCAGCAGCCTGAAAAACTTCAATGGGAGATTGTGGCAAATGTGCTTGAAGATACTGTTAAGGATCTTGAAGAACTTGGGGCAAATCCTTGCTTAACAAGCTGTAAGAGTGAAAAGACAAAGGAAAAGCACCAAGAACAACACAACATTCCCTTTCCATGTTTGTTAGCTGGAGGTTTATTAACATATAAATCTCCTGCTACTTCGCCTGTTAGTAGTAATTCTCACAGGTCACTAGATGGTCTAAGCAGAACTCAGGGTGAAAGTATATCAGAACAAGGGTCAACTGACAATGAGTCTTGCCCTAATTCAGAACTAAATTCTCCTCTGGTAAGGAGGACTTTACCCGTTTTACTTCTTTATAGCATCAAAGAATCTGATGATAAGACAGGAAAAATCTTTTCACAGATGAATAATATTATGAGTAAAACTTTGCACGATGACGGTTTTACAGTTCCACAGATTATTGAAATGGAGCTGGACAGTCAGGAGCAGTTGCTGTTGCAGGATCCTCCCGTGACTTACATTCAGCAATTTGCAGATGCAGCAGCCACCCTTACCTCTCCAGATTCTGAGAAGTGGAGCTCTGTGTTTCCCAAGCCTGGGACTTTGGTTCAGTGCTTGAGGCTTCCTAAGTTTGCAGAGGAGGAGAACCTTTGTATAGACTCAATAACTCCTTGTGCTGATGGAATTCATTTATTGGTAGGACTGCGGACATGCCCTGTTGAATCCTTGAGTGCAATAAATCAAGTAGAGGCCTTGAATAATTTAAATAAATTAAACTCTGCACTATGTAGTAGGCGAAAAGGTGAGCTGGAATCAAATCTTGCTGTAGTGAATGGTGCAAATATTAATGTAATCCAACATGAATCACCAGCAGATGTACAGACTCCTTTGATAATTCATCCTGAACAAAGGAATGTTAGTGGTGGATATTTAGTACTTTACAAAATGAATTATGCCACTCGGATAGTGACTTTAGAAGAGGAGCCAGTAAAAATCCAGCATATCAAAGATCCCCAGGACACGATTACCTCGCTGATTCTGCTTCCACCAGATATATTGGATAATCGAGAAGATGACTGTGAGGGACCTGCTGAGGAAGTTCAGCTGACCTCAAAGAATGGGGTTGAGAGAGAAAAGAAGTCTGACATTTCTACTCTTGGACATTTGGTAATAACCACTCAGGGAGGATCTGTAAAAATATTAGATCTTTCAAACTTTGAAATTTTGGCCAAAGTGGAACCTCCCAAAAAGGAGGGCACTGAGGAACAGGACACATTTGTTTCTGTCATTTACTGCTCGGGTACAGATAGACTGTGTGCATGCACCAAAGGTAAGCGGTTTGTCTTCCAAAAATCTCTGTATATGGCGTGTAATTATGAGTCTACTCAGTATGAATTTTAGATCTTTATGGATGAAGCCTTATTAATTTTTCTTTAATAATGAAGCAGTAAAAATTTCTAATGCTTTAACTGTAAACTTTTTCTTTTTTTTCAATTTTTTTTGAACTCAGGACCTGGGCACTGTCCCTGAGCTCTTTGCTCATGGTTAGTGCTCTAGCACATTGAGCCACAGCTCCACTTTTTTTTTTTTTTTTTTGGTTAGTTGGAGTTAGAGTCTCATGACCTTTTCTGCCCCAGCTGGCTTTGAACTGCAATCCTGAGATTTCAGCCGCCTTAGTAGGATTACAGGTGTGAGCCACCAGCGCCTGGCTCTTTAACTGATCAAGATTAGGATTCTGTTTGTAAATAACTTAATAGATCAGAAGTTGTCTTCTGTGTTTTATCTTCAAGAAAGATTTTGTTGTTTCTCTGAATCCTTGTCTGTGAATTCTGTAAATTCAGTAAATTATGTATTTTTTTTCTTATAAACTACCATAAAAGGCCTGTGTACTAAAACATCACTGTGACAAAATATCTGCCCTAAACTTGCGGAAGGAATGATTTTGTTTTTGGCTCACTGTTTAAACATATTGACCTGATGGCCAGGAGTGTGTGGCAGAGCAGAACAGTTTCCAACATGGTGCCCAGGAAGAGAGAATGCCTGTGCTATTTATTAGCTGTTTCCATCACTTTTCCCTTCTATTTCACCCATACCCCTAGCCTGTTGGTTGATGCTGCCTACATTCAGGGCAGATATTCCCTGTCTTAGTTAATCATTATTTTCTTTTTTCTTTACCAGTCTTGGGACTTAAACTCACGTCCTGGGCATTATCCCTGAGCTTCTTTTGTTCAAGGCCAGTACTCTACCACTTGAGCGACAGCACTACATCTGGCTTTTTCTGTGTATGTGGTACTGAGGAATCAGACCCAGGACTTCATGCATGCTAGGCAAGCACTCTACCACTATGCCACATTCCCAGCCCCTGCCTTAGATAGTTTTCACTGGAAGAGATTTCACAGATACACTCAATGTTTTTTTTTTTTTTTTTTACTCACCAAGGCATCTGTCAGTCTAGTGAAGTTGACAGTCAAGATTGTCCATCCTGGACTATTTCTTAGACTTGTTATAATCTAACAAAATAATGTATGTAAGGTTTCTGGCAGTAATTGGTGATTATTAGTAATGATTAGTTTTGCCAAATAAAAAGTTTTGGTCTGATTTACTCCTAACCTTTGTCTGGTGGTGAATCAATTTTGTAACATTTGAGGCCCTGTTGCGCAATTAGTGTATAGTTTTTCCGTTTGTGTACATTTTAAGTTGGAGAGGTAACAGCAGTTTATGTAAAGGATTACTGACAATATTAGACATTTTGAATGTTCCTATTGATAGTATATTGGAATTGTAGTGCTACGAGATATTTGAAACCTGATCATTATAACAGGATTAGCAGCAAAATTGGAGTTTGAGAAGAGTTTCACATATATCTATGTTTCTTGTTGCATTAACCTCAATTTTTCCATTCTTTAAATTGATTTAGATTTCAAGGTTAGTTAAGGAGATTATGGCTAAATTATTAGATTGCCTTTTTTGACCTATATTCAATGATAAAATAATGATAAATGGTAAAGCAAAAACAAGATAATGTAGTACAGAATAACCTAAAAATAAGGTTCCAATCATTTTAATGTATTTATTGTACACATTGCCAATTCATTATTCTAAGAACTTTACCTCAGTTCATTTAGTCATCACACCAACTTTATACAGCATATACTTTTGGAGAGTCTGTTTTCAGGATAGGAACCTGAGAGAAAGAGAGGTTAAGTAACTTGTTTGTCACAGAGCTAATAATAAGCGAAGCCATGGCTCAGACTTGGGTATTCTGTCATCATTGTGCTTTAGACCAAATCCAGAATGTAACTAAATCCAAAGAATCATACATTGAATTCCTTATGGAGCTAAAGGTTATCTAAGCCAGACGCCAGAGGCTCATACTTAAAATCCTAGCTACCCAGGAGGTTGAGAACTGAGGATCATAGTTCAAAATCTGGGCCAGAAAGCCATGAGACTATTCTTACCTCCAGTTAACTACCGAAAACCAGAAGTGGCACCAGCCTTGAGCACAAAAAGCTAAAGAAAATGCCAGACCCCTATTGCTTAAGCCCTAGTGCCAGCATAAAACAAGTTATTGAAAATGGAACTGTGTTTAGAATATGAGCAATCGAGCCCCAAGACACACCTAAAAATGCTAGTGTTTGGTGTGAGTACTAAGAAGAGGAGATTAGGTCAGTAAGGGGAGTAAATGAGGAGAATGAGACTGATTATGGTACATTTATTTGTGTGTGGAAATGTCACAATGAAACCAATGTATGTTAATTGAAAAAATACTGAAATGTGAAGAGGGTTAATCATTTCAGTTATTTAATGAGATATGCTTTAGGCAGCTTCCAGAAATATTATTAAATATTTATTATTATTTAAATAAGAATATTTAAAGTAAATGAATATATTTTTAGAGTTAAGACAATAATAAATTCTACTCTTAAGAAATGGTCTTGTAATAGTGAACTCTTTTTATGTTTGTTTTTTTGGAGACAGTATCTCACTGCTTAGGAGAAGCTAGCCTTGAACTCTTGGTTCTTCTATCTCAGATACGTTCCACCATGTCAAGCTGACAGGGAATTTTAAAAGATGTAAATGATATACAAATCACTAAAGTTGCAAAATAAGTGCCATGTAATTATATAATGTTCACTATATGAGCATATTGTGTTATGTTTAAATCAGGTTAAACTTAACCTTTTCAAACATTACTTTGTGTTGAAAACTTTCAAAATCCTGTTGTTTACATTTTTTTTTT